GTGGAACTAATTGATGAAAAATCCAAAACCACATGAAAGGTGGCTTGGGTCAGATGGAGAAGTTAAATTAATCGGTCATTAACAGGAAGAGATTCTTTTATGGGGAGGGGAGTACAGCTAGTGCTTGTAGAATTCCTTCTTCTGAAAGGCTGAGGACGCTGAAAAGTTTATGTCACTCACCTCATAGCATCAAGAACACAGCTGACTTTGCTGTAAGTGTCAAACTGGGTCTCTTAAGGCTCTGTTGTGCAATGTGGCCTTATTTCGGTTGCTTTAAGAAGCAGAAAGGGACCTTTGTTAATCAGAACGCATGCTTAGGAGCTGGGGTCACAAATGCTGATAAAACTTTTACAAAATCTAGTTTGGAACTGAGTAGGTGCTTCCCTGCACTTTCCCCTCCTTCTGAGTAGCCCCTCATGCAGTTAGCCAGGCTTTGAAACTCCTGCCTGGTTCACAGTCCTGTAGCCTTGAGGAAGATGAGGTAAGTCTACAAGCCAACCAGGAACCCAACAGCTTGAATGGAAACATTCAGAGTCATTGTCAGGAGACCCCCTACTTTGAGGTCTGGGCAATATTGAACATGTGGTCATTTTTCTTCATGCAAAGCACACTGCCTTCTGTCATTTTAGCAGCATCAGTATTGCCCAGCTTGATTGTGAGGAAATAAGGTAAAGTTAAGGACTTTTATGCATCTCTAGTTGTAGGCAATTATGCACAAATAACAACCAGTAGCCTTGACTGACGATGTGCATCCCCTTTGAAAAGATGCCTCCAGACAGTTTAATGAGACCAAAATTAGCACTGCGATGTGCATGCAAATGAAGATGCACATCAATTTGCATCCCCATTAGCTGCACAAATGTAACCCAGCTTTTGTGAATTGATCTCTCTTGCTGGAATTGGGTGATTAACTAGAATTAGCCTGTCATCTTTACCATCTTTGCTTGCAGTTTGATCAACAATTTTGTGTGCGGTGGATAGGCTTACTCGGCTATCGTTTCTTCTGTTCTTCCTTCAGAGTGCCAAATCATTATTTCTCGCATAATGCATGGTTATGCTCTGGCTGTAACTCTGAAAGATATTCACTTTGGCATACAGGATACAGGTCCCATTAAAAATTGCCAGTGCTTTCCATAACATTATCCTGCAATCAGTTCAATGGAATTTTGATTGTCCAAGAGGCTTGTGTAGGCATCATGGGACACGGAACTAATTGAGTTTCAGATGAAGGGCAGCTTAGGATTTGTCAGCTGTGTAATATGATACAACTGGGTAGCATTCCATGGGGAATTCATAATTCAAAACAGCTGATCAATACTGACAGTGCTAATCAGCTGTTTAGTGTCTGCTTGCTCAATATGGCTGAGATGTGTATATCCAAATACACTTCATTAAGAAATATCCACTCTCATTTTCAGTATCAAGTCCAAATGTTGAATGTTAGCAAATTTGTATGGAAACAATATTGACATAAGTGAATATAGGATTGCAGAGGTTTTACTGCATCCCTAAGTCCCCGCTATATATTATTGAAGTGTAATGTTAAGCTAAACGTGTACTTTGGTACTGCAAAACAAATCTCACTTTCGGCTTTCGGGTAGACTGACATTTGCTGATGGACAAAGATTAATTTGTTCTCAGCAGTTCTGAGTCCTCATATACCAGTAACAAAAAACAAACAAAAAAAACCCCTATTTTATGTATTTACAGTATATGCATATAGTTATTGCCAAATGTTATCTTGCTGACATACTCTATCAGAAGTGCACTTAGTATACTCCAGTGGAATTTTCCAATGTTAAATCTTTCAGCAATACTCAGGCATTCCCATTTCATTACTTATTGCAATCGTGCACCAGAGAAGAAAACCACTAATGGTGTATTCCAACTGCTATTAAACACAATGGCAAAAATCACTTAGATTTTAATGGAACCAAATTGCATTTAAAACATGTTGAGATCAGAGATCAGGATTCAAAAGCAGAGTGTGTGTATGAAAGAACTTTAGGGCACACACAGAGGATTCCTTGTTTTGCACCCAGGTGCTAATATTTTGCCAAGCATCATCACCAAATACACTCCATAAAGAATAGTACTAAACAATTTAAGCTTGTCATTCTAAACCCATTTTGGCCCATCTGCACTGTGGCATTTAAAGCAGTATCATATCACTTTCAACAGTCATGGATTCTGCCAGAGAATCCTGAAAACGATAGCTTGTTCTGGGTGCTGAGAGGTGATAGGAGAACCCTAGCCGTTCACATTTCACCGAATGATTTAACTATCAATCCCTCTTCCCTGTACGGTCGTACCTTGGAATTCGAATGGCTTAGTTGCCAAACGTTTTGGCTCCCGAACAATTGAAAACCAGAAGTGATTGTTCTGGTTTTCAAACGTTTTTTGGAAGCTGAATGTCCAGTGGGGCTTCCACGGCTTCCAATTGGCTGCAGGAGCTTCCTGCAGCCATTTGGAAGCCATACTTTGGAAGTCAAATGTTTTGGAAGTTGAACGGACTTACTGAACGGATTCTGTTCGACTTCCAAGGTACATCTGTACACTCTGGGAATTGAAGCTCTGTGAAGGAAGGAAACAGGGGTCTCCTAATCATTCTTAGCACCCTTAAACTACAGTTCACAGGATGCGTGGGGGGAGGCCATGACTATTTAAAGTGATATGATAAAATACGTTTCCAAGCACAATTCAAAGTGTTGGTGCTGACCTTTAAAGCCCCAAACTGCCTCGGTCCTGTATACCTGAAGGAGCGTCTCCACCCCCATCATTCAGCCCGGACACTGAGATCCAGAGCAGAGGGCCTTCTGGCAGTTCCCTCATTGTGAGAAGTGAGGTTACAGGGAACCAGACAGAGGGCCTTCTCAGTAGTGGCGCCCACCCTGTGGAATGCCCCTCCCTTCAGATGTGAAGGAAATAAGTAGCTATCTTATCTTTAAAAGACATCTGAAGGCAGCCCTGTTTAGGGAAGTTTTTAATATTTAATGCTGTATTGTTTTAACACTCGATTGGAAGCCGCC